ACGGAAATCTCAAACTTGCCAGTTAGTTAATGTGATTATAACCCTGTAGAGAAGGAAGAAAGCTTCCCAGGTTACTGGGGCTGAGATGCAATCCAGCCTGACAAGATTACAATTCACTGTGAGTGTTATAGCACATTGTCAGGTCACAGAACCCAGTAACAACAGCCCGTGTATAAATATTGCATTTTTTTAATTCCAAATTTGTAGATACAATAAATTTACAGCTCTAAGCAAAGCAAAATTTTTTTCTCTTTATTCTATAAATCCTTCTACTAAATTGGCAGATTTTAATTTATCTTTCTATCCATTTTATATCTATTCATTTCTGATCTTCAAAATCCCAGCCACAAATTCATATCTCCAAACCATCCTGCTATTAATCTATTAAGTAGGTGTATTCCTGAGCTTTACAGCAGCCACTGAAAGTGTCACAGGTGCTATCCATTAGTATTTTTAGTAACATTATATTTGTACAGTAAGGGAACAAACAGAAAATAAATAATATGTTCTTCTCCATTTCAAAGGGGTTTAGGGCACCAGGAATTTCAGTATCAGAGATCCAATATCTTTTTTTAAATTAAAGTTTATTGGGGTGAACACATAATGTGATATATAGATGATGTATTATGCTATTGTATACCTGAAACCTATGTGACTTTACTAACAATTGAGATCCAATATCTTTAACTCATTGCTCAGTATAATCAAACGGTCAGCATGCTACCATTCACTCTGTTTTGCAGGCTAGTTTTTGTTAATTGGTTTCTAATTTTAAAACTGAGGAAGTGATGGCAGGAATTGTTCATTATAACTTGAATTATTTTCTATTGCTGCATGAAACTACCTCAAAACTTGCAGCCCAACACAGTAATAGTCTACAAGCTCGTCTTTTTCTGTGGGTCAGTAATTCAGGAGCAACTTGGCTGGGAAGTTCATGCAACTTGGCATGAAGTTTCTTATGAGATTGCAGTTACGTGTTTCCTGGGGCCTCAGTCATCTGAAGGCTTGACCAGGACTGGGGGCTCCTCTTCAGGTTATGCCTTCCTCCATGGCTGGCCATTGCTGCTGGCTGCGAGTAGTAGGTCTTTTCCTCTCCACCGGATGACTTGAGGTTTCTCATGGTACACAGGCTGGCTTCCCCCAGAGAAAGGGGTCCAGGACCACCGGGGAGCCTCCAGTGCCTTTTGTGACGAAGCCGTGGAAGTCACATGCACACACTCCCTTCTGCAGTGTTCTGTTTGTCACGCAGGCCAGCACTGGTTCAGTGCGGGAGAGACCTGCACGGGTGTGGATAGTAGGAGGTGGAGACTCATGGCTAATTTGGAGGCCGGCTGCCAGAGTTCGCCCTCTGGGACCAAAGATTCATGCCTCTTCCACATGAAGAGTACTCTCACCTCCTCCGAAGTCCCTCTAAAGTGTCATCCCATGAGAGCATCTGCTCAAAATCCAGGAACTCATCATCTAAGTCGAGTTCATAACAAAATGAAGCTCCTGTGAGGTCCAAGAGCAAAGGAAGCTGTTTGGGTAGTTACTCAAATGTAGCTGCTCATCTGAAGACCTATGAATGAGTTCTGTGCCAGCCACACACCCAGCGGACCATGGTAGGCTAGGCACAGAGTCGCCACTTTCGCCTCTCTGGTTCAAAGGAGGAAAACTAAGAGTTACGCAGAAGTACCTGGTCCATAGCACTTCTAACATCCAGTCAGGCACATGTTGGTGATTCCTTGATTCGAAGTCAGTCCTGCTATGTCCTGGAAATTATTCTCCATGGCCCGCTCTTGGCTGCAACCTCTTGGTTCTCAGTTCTATCACTCTGACTCATACTTCCCTTTTAAAATAAAAAGTAGCCCGTGTTTACAGCTGTGTGGTTTCCTGCCTGTAGAAGTTTAGGGTCTAAAGACCTCTCTTCATTTTGTACCATCTCTGTCCCTGTCAGTCCAAGCTAGTGGTGTTACCACTAATGCAGTTCTCTTAAAAATCTGTGGGCTTCCTATGAATCATATTCAGGTTTACGCCATTAAACTTTTTTTTTTTTTAACATTGGGCTTCTGCTGACACTAGGCGGAAATGCTCTTGAGAAGATTTTTAGCTCCCTATTGTATAACTCAGAGATTCTGCACAATACACCAGCAAGCTGCCTAGAGGATTGTCTGTCTGACTAAATGGTTCTTTCAGGTACCACCTAACAAATGGTGGCAATCTTAACATGGATTTTACAGCCACACATCATTGTCGTCTTCAGATTATGTTTTACTCGTAGCTGATCTTTGCCTGGAAGTGATTTCTTAGTTTTTGCATTGTTTGCCATTGGGCAAACTGGAATTGAGAAAACATTGTTTTTTTCAAATTCATGAAGTTTTGGCTTCTTCATATGTAACAGTTTTTCTTTAGCTTTCCTCTCTTCTTTTTTCTGTTTTTCACTATAAATAGAAAGAAAACATCAGACTTCTCTGTCTGGAAATGTTCTTAGCTAGATTACACAGTTCATTAAGTACAACTTTTTCCTTTCTGTGTTACCACATTCTTGCTAAACTTTCCACCATAACATAAGCAGGATCCAGTTTTATCCCATTTCCAATAATATTTTTTTTCCCTCACCTTCCTTTAAGCCATTACTGCAAAGGCCCTCAAGAGCCATCAGACTCCTACTAACAGTCCTTTCAAGGTCCGTTCAACTTATGTGAACATCCCAGTCCTGTATTTTTAGATTTGTGTTACAATTCTCTCCCAGTACCAAATTCAGTATTAGTTATTTGTTATTACATAACAAATCACTCCAGGATTGCTTAAAGCCATGGTTTGTTGTCTCTCATGGTCCCCTCCATAAGACTGCTCCAGGTGCGGCGGCTGACTTTTCAGTGTTAGCGATTACAGAGACCGAGTTGAAAACTAGCCTTCGAAGTCCCACCCAGCCACCACTTCCACAGTGTTCTACTGACCGCAGAGGTCAGCCCTAATTCAATGTGGAAGGGGACTCCTCACGGATGTGAATTAATGGAGTCCCTCGTGGAAACGTTAAAGACATTTCAAAGAGAGGCAAACAACCTAAATTTTTAATGGATGCGTAGTACTTTGTCCTACATTTACCTCCTCTCAGAGCATGTCCCATGTAGGAAATGAAAGGATTTGACAGTTTCAAAGTACAAAATTCATGAGGGCCAAACAGAGAACGTCGTTATGAGTGACTGATGAAGTCTTGTTTTATGAACTTAATTATACCCAATCCACAGTGGTCTATGTGGCATGCAGCTGCCTTGCTGCAGGGAAGGCCTTGTTCTCACAAATAGATGTGCTCGTTTTGGACTATTTCAAAGCTAGCATGGATATTTAGAACTCCCAAGTATTCAAAATACAGAGCCAGATGATTGTCTTGTTAAGAATAGCCTTCCAAGTTACAGCTGGATGTTTTCTCTCTGCTAAGTTTAGACATTAACTCCATTCAATATTATCCTGATTAAACAGATTGAAAATCATATGTATGCATACAACTAGTCTAAATAGATGACATCGAAGATCAGCAATTTCTGAGGGGACTAAGTAAGTCAATGCAAATGAAAAAAAATGTGACTTAGAAAAACTGTATAGATAAACTATATGTTTGACATTGAAATAGTTTTATTCTAATTTTTAAGTCCAGAAATTAAGTATAATCCTATTTTACATAGCACTCTGTTGACAGGAAAGGATACACTACACATCTGTGATTAACCCTCAAAAGGGCTTAAAATTATAATTATTAGACTTTAACTATTAAAAACCATTAATAAAGAGAGAAGGAGGTTTCTATTGTCCTAAACTATAACTACTCAAATAGTATAGGACAGCTTTAAAAGTCACATAATGGTCAATATATATATATTTTTTTAAAAGTTTAGTTGAAAATTTACTTTTATTCAATTAATGGCACATCTTGGTCTCATTCCTTTCTGTGTAAATTATATTTTGCTGTAGATATAATATTAGATTGAAATACATATGTGAATAACTTCAGATTTTCAATCACCTTAGCAACATTTAAATTTGCTCTGGTACGTGAATTGGGTGTGCAAAACTATATGAAGGTAGATGCTTTTTGCCAATTCCTGGAGATCCTTAATAGGATCAAGAAATATTATGGCCTACAAATTTTCTATGAATAATAACATTATGCATTTTTCTATTGAAAAGACATAAAGGTAATTGATGGGGCTGTTTTAAAGTTACTCTTCAATACAAATTTTAAAGTCTAATTTCAATCTTGGTATATGTATGTGCTATTCCCTAATAGAACCAGCAGTATTTACTCTATTTTTTGGTCTTGTTATTCAGTCTCTTTTAATTTTAGTTTCAATTCTTATCATTTATGCTCCCTATACCATATTAGATACCATATATATGATAGATATTCAGAGCAGGGTGGCTGTCTGTTATGTCTAAATTTATCTCTTTGTAATATTACTTTGGACTTTATAAGTGGAAAAATCATTTGTAATGTGAATACCTCTTTGGATTGGGTTAGACTTTAATCCATAGAAGAGATTCACCTTAATTGATAACGGTAAGTTTAGCTCCTTGCTATCTAAATAGCAGGCCTCTAGGGAGTTAAGAAAATAGATGTAATATTGAAAGCATAAAAGGAAGGCGGTTGGATTGTTGAGAAAGCTCTAAAGTTTTATATTCTAATCTCTGAACCCAGCATCAGCTGCGGAAGTGTGGCACTGAGCTTTTGACAGCAGGACAGGGACATGTGACAGCCAGCGGAAGAAAGATGTCAAGAAAGAAAATATGAGGGATGCTAGACCCCAGAGACAAACGTTCTCTAGGTTCAGCCCTCACTTCTCTCCCTGAAATAATACCTCCTTCTCATAAGACTTCATTCCTCTGCAGTGCACACAGCATCTGCACGACCCCACGAGACAGTCGTCGGACACGATGGCTGTGGTCAGGGGACGTGCCCAGGGAAGGTTTAGTGAAGTTTGCTGTGCACAGACTTGAACTTGCCCACTTGTTCTCTCTCACAGGTTTTCTGAACCAGATGAAGAACTCAAGTCACTCTGTCCTGCAGCCTTCATTCCAAGGCTGCATGCAGCTCATTCAAGTGGACGATCAACTTGTCAATTTATACGCCGTGGCACAGCGGAGGCCAGGAAGTTTCGCGAACGTCAGCATTGACATGTGCGCCATCATAGACAGGTACGCAGCTGTCTCATCCTACTCAGCGTCAAAACTTGCCAAATCCGTGTTTTTGTTGTGGGATGAGACACACACACATACACACACACACACACACACACACACACACTCACTCACTCACACACTCTGTAAGGGTGAGGTGGGAGGAACCATTGGCCATGCCTACCGTAGCGTGTTTGTGATGTTAGCAGTGATGCTGTTATCAGGACATGGATATATGATAGGACGATCTCTGATGTCACATCGGTCCATCAGCCTCCCTCAGTGACCATGAGCATTATGCAGGAGGTTTTGCAAGCAATAGCTGAGCTATAAAGGACCTCGGTTTATTTTTAGTTTTGCTTCCTATGCCCACAAGCAGAGATGTCCCTTCTCTCCTTGTCTTGGTCGCGACTCATCCTCTCTAAAGACCCCTCCTGGAAAAAAAAAAACATATTAAAAAATATTGGTGGGTAGTATGGGGATTTACTGAAGCAGAATATTTGATATAATTGAGTTTGTTTACAAAATACTCATACTAAAATATTGCAAAAATCTCATCTTTATTCGTTTTTGCAAATCTGGGGAGGAGTTTTGTTTTGTTTTTTTTAATAAAAACTGAATTGACTTCTCACACAGTGGAAGGATACAACCTTTATGGGAAATATTCTGACGACATTACATATATTACCTCAACGTACTTCTACAAAATGTCTTTCATTCCAACATAAAAAAATTTGCTTTTCAGATGTTTTGCCCGTAAACAATCTATGTCTCACTATGAGTTGAATTTAACCTGGTGAATTTAGGTGATTTTAAAAAAAAGTTTTCAAATCTTTTATGATAGGGCTTTCTTATTCTGAAAAATAATTTCATGAATTTTATATTATGGAAGATGAAAGTTGTATACATCTCAGTCTGCCCTCAACAAAATACAGACCCAAAGTCACTAATAATCTTATTTCATTTAAGAGGAGATCCTTGGGGAAGCATTCACAGATATATAATGAAGCTTTAAAATATATAAAATCATTTATAATGAAGTAAGTTTGTTCTGTATAATGTTAATAAAATAGTATTCATGTGAATGGTAAGTTACAGCTTATGACAGCTACAGAGTGACATTTTTAAGCCTCAATATGTTTATAAGACTTGATGACACAGCATAGAGCTTATTCCTATTACATATATGCAAATACTCGTCCTGATAGCCTAACGAGTTTATATTTAAACAGAACAATGAACTGTTTTAATAGAAATACACGCCTAATTTTTGAACCATCAATAATCTAATAGCTATTATTTGGGCCTAAAGCAAATGGTAGCAATACTCAGAAAAACTGAGATGAATGTTTTAAGATCATATGCTCTGATATGAGATGTTTGTCTATAAAATGTAGTAATTGTTTTCCATACAGTCTATAGAGATGTTTAGCACCTTGTCCATTTTCCAGGCCAGTAGCTTTAATGATACAATAATTTCTGTCAATAATACCCAAGGTAGTTCATTCTGCTTTTGTAAACTGGCTAGATTTTATGGTGATGTTGCTGTTTCAATGCAAACAGCTTGTTTCTTGGGCGTTCTATTTAAATTGCCTGCTACTGAAGAAGTACTGGTGAGATGTTGAGACTTGCATATTTTACTCCCATGGAGAGAGTAGGCGTTAAAATGGCCCCAGAGGAATGAGTGAGATTTTGGTAAATGAAAAGAGTGGAAGTTGGCACTTCTGATGAGGAGAATAACGCAGAAGATGTACAATAGGGAATGCAAATTTCAATTTTTGTCAGGTACAGGAATGGATAAAATACATGTTTTTTGCCAAAATGGGTCAGCCCCATTGTCCACGTTGCCAAGTGCACAGTGGCTGATAGAAGAAGGAATATTTTTCTTATCTTCCAGAATGATAACCCAGAAGTGTAGCTATGGGAAAGTAGTCACTCTGACACATCTCCACAAAATTCCTAAGCCCATTCGGGAACCCAGTTCCTGTTTGACGTTTATTTTGAAGGCGATGATTTTGTACGCTAATTACCAATGTGTGAAATAGCAGATTATTTTATTTACCTAAAATGTTCCCAGTGTAGAATTTTAATCTGTGAAGTGTTGTATTTCTGTAGCTATGACACAGGGCTATATTCTCCTTGGTCAGACCATTGGGGAGCGCGTTGAATTCACCCTTAATTTCTGTCTGTCCAGGTGGAAGTACTGGCGGGTTTAGCTTGTCCTTATATAACGGACACCCATCAGATTACACTTTAATGATACATCCCTAGCCCACCTCTGGTTTGGATTTTTTTCCCCCCTCACTAACCGAAACTTTGCAACTGCCTGACATCTCTGATTTTATTTTCAAACTACCTAAATTCTTCGTAAGTTAGCCTACACTGGTTCTTCTTTACTTTTCTCCTTTCAACTTCCAGCATGAGTGATTTAAAAGCTATTTTTGAAAAAAAAAAACAGGAAAAATGAGAACGTAAAACAGCTACCATAGGCACGATTAAAAAAGAAAAATGTTTGGAGATAATAGGAGCAGCTGCAATGATGTGATGAGTAGAACTTAGGGAAATAGCTTGGGAAGATTATTGTAAAGGAGCTTTGCTGTGTGTCATACTGGAATATCCTATGATTTTAACTTATTTTTCTTGCTGTGTGTGTGTGAGGATTTACACATGGCTTGTTTTCTGAACACAGTGTTGGATCAAGGAAAGGCAGGCATGCCAAGCTACAGAATTATTCATTCAGGAGTATTTTCTGAGTGCATCCATCGTGCCAGGCACTGTTCTAGGCACTTAGCATAAATTGTTGAACAGAACAGACAAAGATTCTTACACTTGTGAAGCTCACATTCTGGAGGAAGGGGAGGAAGGACAGCTACATTATAGGAAGTTACTAATTATAGTAAGTTAGAAGGAATACGTGCCGTGGGGAAAAAAAAAAGAAAAGAAAAGAGCAGAGCAAATCAAGGAGAACTGGCCTTCCAAGAGATGGAGGTTACATTGCAGTTTAAATAGCTAGGTCAGAGTTAACCACACTGAAAAGATAATAGTTCAAGACCTGAAAGAGATAATAGCATTTGTCAGTTTGGGGAAAAAGCATCCCAGGCAAAGAGAACAGTCAGTGCATTGAGGTTGCCTGGCATGACCTGGGATCAGCAACGTGCCAGGGGGCATGTTGGAAGGAGAGGAGGACAGTTGCAGAGAGGAGGCCAGAGCCGCCTAGAGGCCAGGCCCTGGAGACCTGGAGGGTGTTGGAAGGGTGTGGCTTTTATTCTTCAGGAACTAGGCAGCCCTTGCAGGTTTCTGAGTAGAGCAAGGACATGATCAGGCTTCCAATTTAAAAGGACCACTCTGGCTGCGGGGAGAGCGGGTAGAAGCGGGAAGCCTGTTATAATAATCCAGGTGAGATGCTGGTGGCCTGAGACCAGGGGACTAGCACCAGAGGTATGAGATGTGCTTGACTCTGCATCTGTTCATATATGCAGGACGTGGAGTCAGTGGGTTCCTTGATGGATTAGATGCAGGCCATGAGAGGAAGAGGGTGAATAAGGATAAACCCAGATGATTTGGTAAAAACAACTGGAAGGCGAGAGTTACCCTCTACTCAGATAGGAAGGCTAATGGTAGAGATTGGTCAGAGGGTTCAGGTAACAAATCGCAAATTCAGTGGTGGGCATGAGGAGAAATGTGTATTGGACGCATACGTCGAAATGTCTTGGATTGGATGCATGTATGTCACAAGCGTACGTCAGCAGATTCACACGAAGATGTTGTGTCTGACGAAATCGCCCTGTTTACCTGTTGAGGGCCTCTGGTTTCTTCAGCTGTGTTTCACAGCCAGCCACAGGCCTGGGAGGGCGAAGGTGAGGAGCGGGCAAGAAGCCTTGTCCCACAGAGTAAGCCTCTAGCTTGACCTCTGATGGGCAGTCTGCTTTCAGGGAGGAGGGCCTTCATCAAATCCTCAGGTGCTAGAACATTCCCTGAAGACAGTAAGGTGTGCAGCAGATAACCTCTTCGTTTCTCCTGGCGTGATGACCCCCTTTTATCTGCTCCTAGCGCCCTCGCATTGTTGGGTCCTTGCGGCAAGCATCTTTCGGTGCCATTTATATCAATAACTCCTGTTCTCAACCCAGGTCTCTCTACCCTCCTTCCAGTGTGAAAACCTCCTATAGCCAAACAAAGTAAGGTTTATTCACTTCCTCCTCTAAGGGAGACCCAAAACAGAACCATGCGGCATCTTAAAGGTAGTGGGGGGAAAGGGAGAGAAGGTGGGGGGAAAAGTGGAGTCGGGAAAGTTTGCTGGGGGGCTAGAGTGAGTCCTGGGAGGTGGGGGATCCTGGCAGGTTCTGGTCAGAATCTGTAAACTGGGAGAGTTGCTACAACAAGACAGCAGGACTTGCGAATCCACGCCCTCCTCTGTGGGTCTCTTCCAGGACATGTGGACGAAAAAGCTGGTGTTCAGATACTTTGAGCCTAAGTAGGTGGTGTAAATGCGTAGTTTGGAAAAATGTATCTACCTTGTGAGTCATAGCAAAAGCCTGTTTTGCTAGTTGTGGTTTCCTGATTGATCCTAAGACCACACTCATAGCTTAGCTGCCAGAGGGAGATTTTTCCTTAGTCACAGGCAGAAGTAGCCGGGTGACACCGTCCTGGCTGAGGCGAGATAAGCCAAGTCAGCTGTGGTGTGCTGGAGGAGGCTTTGTTTTCTGGTACAGATGCCCCCCTCTCCCCCTCCAGCGTCAGTGTTCAAATGCAGACACTGTGCCTGGGGCTGTATGGTCCAGAAAACCAGTCAGCAAGCACCTTCACACCTTTCTGTGTGATAAAAAGTAATCCTTGTTTACATTACTGTGAGTCAAGTTTTATTTTTCTTGGAACCCAGAGCATCTAGTCTTCTCCCATCTTCTACCTCTAAAATCAAACAATGCCATCTTTTTACCAGAACACAGAGGAACAAATTCCAAGTGTGTTAACGGCTTTGAAAGAAAAGATGACACGTATTTCTAGGATATATTAAGTCGCAC